AACCATGAGATTAGTTCAATAGAATGTTCTTTTTTCCAGAATCTTTATTCTGCATACTGGTGAAGAAATTAATCTGAAATAATTCTGTTGTTTAATCCCTTGTAGGATTAACAAATTGGGATCTGGTAATGATTTTGAAGTTTTCTTCCAAAGACTTGGCATTGCTTCAGCACGAGCACGTTACACTAAAAACAGGGTGAGTCTCTATCAATGTTTTTCAAGATGATTTAGAAACATATTTTAGCTAAATAAATCATTCTAGCTACAAAACATAAAGGAGTTTGGGAGCAGAAGGGAGAAGTTTGAATGGCTCAAATGGTTCTATAGTGCATGTTAGCCCCTGCATCTGCTAACCTGAGTCCTACATAGAATACCAGTTGTCATCAACACAGGTCTAAACTTGAATCTCCATGAAATTGAACCTTTACATTTGAACTTCCTTAAACATATTTTCTATTTCATTTGGCATTAGTGCATCCACCCAGGCACTTCAATTAAAGATTTAGGAATTGGCTTTGATTATTTTCCCTGTGATCAAATTAAATAAAAAAGCTCACCTATAGCTATTTGGATTTTCCTATCTCCAATTATTAAATGTACAAAGGAAGGCTATGGTAGATTAACAGAAGGCATAAAAGAGTGGATATGCACATGCCATCAAAGTAGCATAGATACATAGCTTGTAAAATGCCAGAGTCTTCTATAAGGGTATAAAATGAAAAACTGTGCTCACTTATGCTACCTCCATGCTCACCTCACCACTGACTCCATTCACCCCATGGAAATTCATTCAATATTGTCCTTGGTTTTTAAAATAATGTGATCATGCTGCTGCTGCTTTGTTTTCAATGTATGTAGTTCACATTTACTCCTATAAGACAGGAACTTATAATTTGTTAATATCATCTCCACCCCAGGACCCCAAGATGCAATGAAGATCCCTCATGGCAATTTTATATTAAAAAAGAGAACTCACTGCCATTTGTCGATGCTGACTCGTAGAGTTTTATACTACCGATTGGTAGTTCACTTATTTATTAGAACACCCAAACTGCCCCTACTCTGTCTGATTTTCACTACAGAGAGCTAATCATTCATGGAACTTCAGTGATCAGGGAATTTGCTGCCCTATATGAGATTGTGCAACACATTAACTCGTCTTCTTAAATTAATTTTTACGCAAATGCAATATTGTCTTTGTTTCCTGTTCTCAAAAATGTCCATGGCTCTCCTAGAACCATGGCCCAATTGAGAAAAAAAAAGTATCTTACATACTCAAGGTCAGGCATTCCAGGCCTATCCAAAACATTTCTTATAATATTATTTACATCCTACAAGCATAAGTCAATGGGACTAAGGCGAGCATATGACTGGGAGAACTTGTCTGCAGCCATCCATTGAGTCATGACTGAATGAATACATTCTGTTTGGAATAAACTCATGCATGTATAAACTGGAACCCTAGTGGCAATATTTTCCCAATAGTTTTAATAACTTTTAATTCATATATCATACAATTTAATAGCTCAATCACATAAAAAATAGTTATACAATCATCACCACAACCAGTTTTAGAACATTTTCTTCATTCTTATTAGTTTGCCATTTCTCCTCAACCTTCCCTGCCATACCCCCAAGGAACTATTGATCCAGTTAATGTCTCCATAGACTCACCTATCCTGGATTTCAGATGCAGAATAACATTTTTTTTAAAAAGCTAACAACAGTAACAATGTAAAACAGATAAAAATCTCAATCAAAAAGAAAGCAGAAAATACTAAATCTAGAACAAATTTAAATGGATATTAAGGGAGATCAAATGATACGGTACTAAGTTTTAATTTAACTGCATCTGCAATAAATTTCCCCATGCATTTTGCATGATCGCAAGGCTATTTACATCCCTGGTGCATGATCAGAGAGGATTCACCAGGGACTTATTTTGACTCAGCCATGGATACAAATATATTTTAACTAGTACAAGCCTAGATAGTGTTTAAATACTTTAATACTATTATTTTTGTAAGAGGATTATTGAGGTGCTAGATACTTTATTCACTGCTGTCTAAAACAGTGGGCAATATTAAAAAATTAATAATAAATGAAGTTTCATTTTATTAAAGGTTATCTTTTAAGTGATAAGTGACTTTGATTTGTTTTTCAGGAAAGAAGCAAATTCAGTAGCTATCCACTATATCACAGTGTCTATGAAACATATGAATTGGTGGAAAAGTTTTATGATCCAACATTTAAGTATCACCTCACTGTGGCCCTGGTTCGAGGGGGAATGGTGTTTGAACTAGCCAATTCCAAAGTGCTTCCATTTGACTGTCAAAAGTATTCTGAAGTTTTAAGAAATTATGCTGACAAGATCTACAATATCTCAATGGCATACCCACAAGAAATGAAAGCATACAACATATCATTTGGTATGTTACACTAGCTTACAATTTATTATCTGTGTGTTCTTATTCATCTCAAACATGTAATAACATAACTTCTCTGTGTTTACCATTTTTCCTCTACCATATATTTGAATGTTCCGCTAATAGGTACAAAGGTGTTTTCCACTTCACTGAAGTTCATACCCTGGAATAGTCAAGCTATAAATAACATAAAATGCAAAAGAGCAGACGCTGGTTCTCTCTATTGCTCTGTGTTTAAACTAAAGAAAGCGCTTTCTTAGAACTTTTCATGGTCATAATTTTTATTTCAGGTTCACTTTTTTCTGCAGTGAAGAATTTTACAGAAATTGCTTCTAAATTCAATGAGAGACTTCAGGACTTGGACACAAGCAAGTATGTTTTGTATCTATAAATAATGCATATCACAGCTCCATATAAATAATGCATATAATAACTCACCTAGAGCAGCCATCGAGATGATGCTGACTCGTGGCGGCCACACTGTGGTTTCTACGGCCACCCACCTTTAGAGGAGCAGACAGATTCATCGTTCACCTTCAGTGGGGCTGGTGGTTTTCTGAAATAATGATCTTTGGTTAGCAATCGATTGTTCACCCTACAGTGCTACCAGGGCTTGTCATGCGTGCAATAGGTCTAATTAAAAGTCATTGATTACGTCTATATTGCTGAATTATCTTTTAAAAGTTCTTGCCGCCTTCTGCCTCTCCATTCAAATACTGCTGTATCTATCAAAGAACTATTCCTTATAGTCTAAGTTAAGGACTATGCTGCCCAGCTATGTCCATACCTCCTTTCTGACAACTGAATTGATTAAAAAATCCCCACCCTGGCATTGAAAGGCCCCCATGGCAAGACAACAGCCTTTTTCCCCCTAGTTTAGTCTCTAGTTTTGTAGTGCCCATACCTTACAGTTGAACCAAGCACTCCTTTTCTCGGATCATACATTCTTTTCTAGTATTTGTTGGCATCATTATTTCTAGAGAGAGATGGGTATGGGTGTATACAGGGGGGGGGGCACATCTCCTAACTCCTTCAGTCCATGTTGGATTCATTCTTTTCGTTGCCTTACCTCTTGTGGCACTGTGCCTGAATGATTAACAAAGTAACAGCATTCCTCTCCTAGAAAAGTGCAGGTTTCCCTTTTCCTTGCAATAAGCAAGTCCAGGGCTCACCTATATTGTCATGTCATACCCGCTTGGGAATTCATTTGTGTTTGTAGCATTAAAAGAGTGTTGCCTATTACCTTCATATCAACGCTAAGGTCTCTTGATAGTTTGTAGTAAAAATGAGTAGCTATTCCAATTCCTCCCTCTCCAGTTCCCAGAACTGCCAGATATACTAGCTCCAGTGAGTATAGGGACTGCTATCACTCTTTTGTGTCTATAGAAAAAAAAATTGATGGGATTTAGATGTGTATTTCATTATGGTACCCTTCATGTCTTGTTCACCTAGAAAAGTTAAGTCTGAAGTGAGAAACATTGGGATGTATAATCCTGTATATGTCACAGGAAAAATATTCCAGGTGAGGCACATCGGGTCTCTGTATTTGGCCAAAGGAGGGTTTGACTACAAGACTTGGTAGAGACATTGCCTACGGTTTGAGTCTTTTAAGGGCCAGGAGGCAGACAGTGTCCTGACTGGAAAAGAGAAATACTTCAGTGGCTATTGGTCTGATGGTACGTTCTGCTTTAATTGTCTTGGTTCTGTTGGGTGTTACCCATGAAGACAGAATTGGGGATGCTAGCTATTGTCTTTATTGGAGAGCTATCGGATATTGAGGGACAGTAGGACATTTCAAGGGGTCTTTTAAACTGACATAAAAAGATTTGTGGCACAAAGCAACAGAGGGTTGGGTGACACCCCACACATGTGGATTACCTAGAGCAGATGGGGGGTGTTCAGGACACTAGAGATATTTTGGGGAGATGGAGGCAGGAGGAGTCTGGTGCAGCTTATAAGAGAAGCAACAAGTGTGGAGACTGGGAAGTCCCTGGTAAATAAGAAGTTATTACTCTTTTGAATTCTGTAAATATATCTCAGCCCAGAAGGGGGAATGGGGCATTTGGGGATGACTAGAAACTGGTGTGAAAATTGTGCATGATAAAGGCTACATAGGAGTGACCATGCAGTGAGGGGTTATGCAACTATACCTGAGACCCCTACAATAGTACTGGGTGCTAAAGTAGTTTGTCCTGAATGTTCAGGTAGTGTTGAAAAAGTGGCCCCTGTCTAAAGGGAAAGAAATAGGCTTACCTGAGACAATGGTCATTACCCTGGACTTCTGATGGGTGATCTCTGTGGGAGCTGTTGACCCTGGGCACTATTAATCTTCTAAGGCCAGGCCTAGAAGGCTATTGAGCTGGTTGCTATGGAGGTGTTATGGAAGAGTCTGTCCTCCTGCCCTCCGGTGGAAAGGGCAATCAACTTCCCAGTGCCTTCCTTGTTTCCAATGTGGGCAAGGTTTCAGCAGGGGACGAGGATTGGGGTATTTGCATGCCCAATGTCCCATCTGGGAACATTTAAAGGAGGGTCCAGGTGGCCCACCCATTTGTGGCCCAATGTTTATTGGTCTGAATTCACCCATTTGTCCTGAAGGACTTTGTCCCTTAGTAGTTTATCTAATTTTTCCTGGTCTTCCCTATTTTTGAAAACCTTAAAAGCCACATTGAGAAGTTCTCTTTGTAGGGTCTGAGGACCATCCTCAAGCTTTTTATGCTTCCTCTAAATGCCAGGAGCTGACTGTGAGATAAAGTGTGAATGAAGCAAAGTGGTGCCAGTTGGTGTTGAGGGATCAACACTGATGAACTTATGGAAAGCCTCCAAGAGGCGAGAGAAAAGCAGGGCAGGATCAATCTGACCCCACCACACCAGAGAGAAACACTAGGGGCTTGCAACAGAACAGCAAGGGGAGCAAAGCAATGAAGTCCCCAGGGAATACCAAAAATGGACTTTGGGGCCAGGGTGTGGCATCCCATCAGACTCGACTGGAAAACACTCCAGAAGGTGAACAAACAGACCTGGAACTATTTATAGGCTTTTCTTTTTTTGTCATTGATTTTTGCTGTTATTGTTGCTGTTGTTTTGTTTTTGTTTAGTTTTGTTTTCCTCTGTCTTATTTATGTGCTTATTAATGTCTCTGCATGTCTATCTAGATAAGATGGGTGGGATAAACCATCCAGAGGAGAAAACAACATGACCAGTGGTTTCAAGGTGGGGGTGGTGCACAGGAGAGGGGGAGGCAGGGAAAACAAGCAGAGGGTGTCAACAAACCCAGGGACAAGGGAAAAACAGTGATCTAAAATTGGTGACATGGAAGACTTAGGATGCCTGGTGGGGCTTGATCTAGGGCAAGGTAGCCAAGAGAAATTAATGAAACCTGAATGAAGGACCAACATGATAGTGGGACAAGAGGAAGGTAAAAGGAAATAGAGGAAAGAACTAGGAGGCAAAGGACAGTTATAGAGGTCTAAATACAGGCATGTGCATATGTAAATATATTTATATATAATGATAGGGAAATATATCTATGTACATATACTTATATGTTAAGTATTAAGGTAGCAGACAGACATTGGGCCTCTACTCACGTGCTCCCTCAACATATGAACACTTTGTTCTAATATCCCGACATTCTGTGATGCTCACCTTCCTTGACATGATCGCTGATGACAAAATGGGTGTATAAGCAAATGTGGTGAAGAAAGCTGATGGTGCCTGGCTATCAAAAGATAAAGTGTCTGGTGTCTTAAAGGCTTGAAGATAAATAAGTGGCCATCTAGCTGAGAAGCAACAAAGCCTGACATGGAAGAAGCATACCAGCCTGTGTGATCATGTGTCAATGGGATCAGGGATCAAGCATCAAAGACCCAGAACAA